TTTTACGTAACCTCGGGCAAAGTCTGGATAATGAAGGACATATGACACATAAACGGATGTCTGAATGATTAGAATCTATAAATAATTTTAAGTGACTTGGCAAATATAAATCTTATTGGCATGATAAGACTTGAGACTAAAATTAGCCAAGCATGAACAAGTTGTAGAGAGTTGAAATGAAAATTAACTGATTATGAGTAGACAATTCTTATTACTGGACGTCGTGTTCCTGCTGATTGGCTGAATAAACTAGTCAAAACAGCTACTAATATGTTGACCAGACCACACACTAGAAATTGAAGGGACGACGACGTTTCGGTCCGTCCTGGACCATTCTCAAGTCGATTGTCAATCAAGACAATCGACTTGAGAATGGTCCAGGACGGACCGAAACGTCGTCGTCCCTTCAATTTCTAGTGTGTGGTCTGGTCAACATACTTCAGCCACGTTATTGTGACTCATCGCCTGCAGCTACTAATATGGTGTTGATAATGGAAATGTTAAGATTATATAGGGTTAACCACCCAAATCATGGCTGATAAGGCAGAAAAATAATCAGTAATTATAGTAATTTAACTTATCTTCCCCCCCCCCCCCCACCCCCCACCTTGGCTTCTTTGTAAACAATGTTCAGGAATGAGCCATGCCTGAAGTTATGTAACTATACAACCACTCCGGTTGTAACGACACTAGAGATATGAATTAAAGTCGTTGATGTGTGAAAATAAAATACTATAATATATTACAAATATTAAGTCAAAATCGATGAAACGGTAAAATATGAACATTTGCTAATAATAAAATATAATAATAAAAATTCAAAATATTTGGCAAATTTAACGACGAAACTGATGTTAGAATTATCATAATTTTTAATCAATTAATAATAATTTTAAAAGAAAGTGAAGAAATGGCAAAGAAAAAAATAACAGATGGAGAGGAATCAGAAAATAATGCTCGAAATAATAAGAAGAAGAAGAATTATAACAATAATGGACTGTTGTAACCAACACAACAAAATGCAACAAAGTAACAATAGAGTAAGTAAAATATACAAATAATCACACAAAGAAGTGAAGCTAAAAACCACTAAACATTATACGTTGAACCTTATAATAGTGAGCTTCAATAATACTTATAATACCTTATAATACAGTGACTGCCAGCAGTCAACAGTTAGGCTATTAGGGCTGACCTTACAATTTTGTTGCATGATGCGCCTCTCGCCTACTGCCTCTATGACAGCTCTGCTCTGGCAAGCCTTTTACGTTTTGCAAAACAAAGTGCGGGTAATAGAGTTGGGGAGTAGTACATATTGTTAGAATTATAACCTGATGCTATTTAGGTTTCCTTTTGATAGGACAAGAAAGGTTGAGAGAGATTGTGAGTAGCGCTGATTTTTTTTCTCTCCGCTCTCTGTTCTCCTATGGTTAATCCTCGTGTCTAAAGGGATTGTTAGGAGAGATTATTTACAATCATTGTGCTTGCCTTCGGCGGCCCTGTGTCTCGTGGTTGTGTAATTAACTGTTCTTTTGACCCCCAGGCAATTCAGAGGTGTGATATATGTGTGTGTGTGTGTGTGTGGTATATGTATGTGTGTGTGTGTGTACCCACGGTGGGGGGACGGGTGTATGTATGTGTGTAGTTTAGTGTGGCCACCAGCTTCGTGTTAGCCGCGCTTCAAGCACGCCTCTCACGCCTGTACCAAGTCATGTTTCCTATTTATTAATTCCGAAATATCTGCTTTGTGAGGGGAAGAACGCTGGCGCACCGCCGCCACGGCGATTGATGATACAACGCCCAATTCTGCTGTCTTCTTGCAAGCTTAGTCCCCTCAACAGTCAACACGCACTAAATTTTACACCGAGAAACGAAATTTTAAGCATAGGTGATATTGTAAATTGGTCATACCACATAATCTAAAACATTTTTGGTTATCTGCTGCCATTTCCGGCAAATGCTGCTGGATGCTGAGCCACGTCACCAAGGAAACAGCCCAGCGATATATATATAACATATAATATAGATAGTACCACAGGCCCACCCCTCAGACCTGTCTTGATCCAATGTGTTACAAAAACTCCTTTCTAAAGAGAAAAAAAAATCAGTGACACATTCACCCCCTTTGGCATTTGCTAAAATTATCTATGAACAAAATTATTATATTCAAAATTAAGTCTCATGATGCAAAAAGCGTGTGTCCTGGGTAGAGGTCATATGGCAAACGGCATTGTTTAGCTCTGGTAACTGCTCACGCGGAGGAAATTCGCCATAGATGACGTAGATTGTAATTAACCGGTCTGCCTTATGGAGTTAATTGTGAGGTAGAGAGGTTTACCGCCCGCCGGCTTATTATTTGCGTCTCTTAAAGGGAAGGTGTGTGTAGGTTCCCTCCGTTCAAGTATCTGCTACAGGGAGTAGTATATATATATATATATATATATATATATATATATATATATATATATATATATATATATATATATATATATATATATATATATATATATACATTATGTGGACTTTTTATTATCTTTTTTATCTTATTTTCATAGTAATTGATAAATACATTTAAACATTACATATAACCATCATTATTGATGATCACATTTTACTTCTAAATCATCGTAATAGTTCCAAGTGAAATACCGCTTTCAGCGATCCTGACAACTAGAACCAAACAATATATTACTCCCCACATGACGACGACAACAAAAAATATGCTTGTGGACCTGCTTGCACCCCCCTCCCCCCACCCCACCCTTCGATGAGCGAGTGTGATTTAAATATATTGACACAAGCACGATTGACCCCTTCATCCCTTCCCCCCCCCCCCTCTCTCTCTCTCTATCTCTCTCTCTCTCTCTCTCTCTCTCTCTCTCTCTCTCTCTCTCTCTCTCTCTCTCTCTCTCTCTCTCTCTCTCTCTCTCTCTCAACAACCAAGGGTGCGTGCAAGCAATGAGAAGCGCGTGTGTAGGTTTTGTCATCCCCCTGACTACTCTTTTCCCCCCTTCCCCTTCCCCTAACCCCTGGCTTTACGCTGCAGGTCCCTTGTTCAGGGATCGATACTACATGGGACAGGTACACACACACATATTTACATATATATATATATATATATATATATATATATATATATATATATATATATATATATATATATATATATATATATATATATATATATATATATATATATATGTGTGTGTGTGTGTGTGTGATTTAGAATATATATTTTCTAAATTCTAAGTTCCTGGTCCTGGCATGCAGCTCTCTCATAGACAGGTGATGTAATACTTGATGTGATTATTTCATGACCAAGTGTAATGTGAGGCTCGTATAATTCTGGCTGGTGGCTATCTTGTGCCTGAGTATATATAGAGAGCTGTGAAGGGGGGGGGGGGGGGAGGAGGATATCACTTGGCTTTTGTCAAACCCTCCTCGCCTCGTTCATGTCAATACGTCATGAGCTGGGATAATGCCTACATTCTAACAGTTCCGTATACTTCAGAGTCTGGAATAAGCTATTTTTTTTTAAGTAATGATTTCATACACACAAAAGGAAATGGACTGAAATTTCTGTTACTGTTGTCTAAAATTGTAGTAATTAGGATGTATACGAGATGGCGATTTGTGTACTTTGGCGAATACTGATGACAGTCAGAGTACCGGAGGAGGGTGGAAACAGGTTGTTACAGTGGCTACGACTACTAGGAATTCACCAACGGCTCTGTAGATGACTGTATGATGATCTGTCTCTCTGTCTAGGCAGTTCCTTTCCCCCGTCGCACCTTGCAATAATGAAGGATACATGTCAAGTCGATATATGAGTTTACGATCAGAGCTTCGTGGAGAATAATGGAGAGATAAAAACACGAATATGAATAGGCACGAAACAGCGGGTTATAGGAGGGGGGGGATTGTGAGGGAGGGGGAAGGGGGAGGGGGGTATATAGAACATCAAGTAGGGGGTTATTTGAAGGAGGAAGGGGTGAGGGAATGGGGAAAGATTGGTTTGGAGAATAAAAATGATAACAGCGATTGTTATTTTTGATGCTAAATGTCTTGTGTGTGTTGTTACAAGTCACGTGGGGGTAGGAAAACAGTACACACGAGGATTTTACTGCTTCCTGTGTGTGATTTTATCCAGTCCTGATACGGGGACTAAGGGTCAAAGGTCAGTGTTGACGGGTCAGGGCTATGGATTTATTTTTAGAATTCTTGTTATTATTATTTTTCTGCTCAAAATAAATACAGTATTATTCATCCTTTTTCTTATATAACTTCTACCCATTATAGCAATGTCGGCCATGATAAGGTAATTGCAGCGAAGAGCTATGATGACTTTAAACCAGTAAAACAATAATTACAAGTTTTATCCATGTCTTGGCCAGGTGTAGCTGGCTTTGTTTACATAAGGTGGTAGTCCCAGGGCTATGCTAAAGACGGTATTGCTATGCATTGGCTATGCTGAAGGCGGCTGTGCCGTACTGGGTAGTGCCAAGATGCCTAGAGGGCTACATAACCACGTGCTTATGTGTGGCATTACTGAAGAATACCAGGAGGGCCTCAGGATGAGTTAGCAAATTGTGAATCTTGTGAGTGGCTTAGCCACAGCATCTTTACGGCATATTTTATATATGGGATAATTTGAGGATGCTTATAATACTACTAACTACAACTCTTGATATTTACAAGAGGCTGAGAGCCCGTGGGGGAAAGTCGCGGTTGCACTCACAAATTGCACTCAATTTGTGAGTGCAATATCTGTGGGCGTGATACCCGGATACATGCTATGGGGTATTGTGACGTCTGACCCATTCTCGCTGCGCAAACATTAGGGGTGGGTAATGCTTTTAGGGGGAGGGGGAGGTGGGGGGGGGGGAGGGGGCAGGCAGGCAGCAAGCAAGGGTGCAACACAATGGGTTGGGTTGCAACCCACACACACACACACACGCACACGCACGCACCCTGTGACCCACCACACACGCGCCACTCACCTGAGACGGATGAACGTGGTCAGGAGGTGACGGATGACGTTGTCAGCATGGCCAAGGGCGTGATGAGAGGCGGCGACAACGACGGCGACGGACGTCGACAGGACGACGGGTCGGGCAGAACTGGTAGGGCACACGTCTCTCACCGCGCCCCCATGCCCACCGTGTTGTTGTTTTTTTTTTGGGGGGGTCCGTGTGTTGTTGTGTGTCGGAGGCGCGTGAGAGAGACGGGGTCGTATCCCGCCGCTGCCGCCGCGACAAATCCCGCCTCTACGGCCGCCGCAGCTGGCCGCCTCGACCCCAGTTTTTGCATACCAGCATATGTTGAGCCTTTCAATACACTGCCATGACGAGGCTCAATTGATCGGGCAAAAACCGAGCCTTAATCAGCGCGTGGACCAGAAAAAAAAAGGTGAGGTACCGGGTTGAGAGGGGCCCCACACTCACCTCGCGACCCCCAGCGAGGGTCCCTCCGTCAGTAGCGCGACTTCCTTCCTCCCCCCCCCTTCTCCCCCCCCCCCCTCTCCGTCAGTAGTGCGAGGTGGCCCCGGCCGCGCCACTACCGCGAGTGACACCTAGATGCTCCTGCACCCACCCAGCTCCGACTAATTACTGGTACAATGCGCTAATCTCCTTACTGCGTTAATTGCCTACATTCTCCTTATAATTAAGACGGCGACGAATGGCGCGGCATCTGGTGGTTGCAGCGGGAACTAGCGGCGTTGCATCAATAATCCATTCAGCGTGGCGGTATCAAATCTCCGACGGGTTGCCATGGCGACGGTTGCCGGGGCGACCCTATGCCGCCGTCGCCGCCACTCTTGCCGGCAGTGCCGCTACGTCGCCACCGTCAGGGAGGCCGACGGCGTCGCCACTCCGTCGGTGTGGGTCGGGCGGCAGCGGCGGCTCTGCCCCTACGCGGGGGGCGGGGGGGAAGGAATTGAAGGATAAGGGGGGGGGAGGATTGCCAGCTGCAACATTGCAAACTAGCGACGGGGAGGCTAACAGCTCTCTCTCTCTCCCCCCCTCCCATCGTGAGGCGTCAGCTGTCCTCCCTATACACCCCCCTATGCGATTCTACCCACACCCAGTCCACCCCCTTACCCACACACTCAGCCTACACCCTATACCTGATCCCAAACCTGCACACTCATGCTATACGCCCTTCACACAGCCCCACACCCAGACTGACACCTATATGCCAAGCCTATACCCAAACCCAGCCTAAACTCGTGCTCACACACATACCCATATCTCAGTCTTCGCCAGTACCCACCCACACACACACACACACACACACACACACACACACACACACACACACACACACACACACACACACACACACACACACACACTCTCTCTGCCCACACCATGCTATTTTCCAACCAGCATCCATACCCTTCACTCTGGCTACATCCTAATATACACTCGGCTCACATCCATACCCACATGCCCATATACATTCATACCCGTACAGCCCACGCATATCCTCACCCACCCTACATTCATACTCATTCATACATACTAATACTCACATTCAGCTTACATTCATATCTATATCCAGCCTAAGCCCGTAACCACACCCAGTCTTCACCCTTTTCCCCACCCAGTTTTACCCACAATACCCACACCCATATCCAGCCAACAGCAATGACCACAATCAACCGTACCCACACCAAGCTAATATTAATACCCTCACTCAGCCTAAATCAATTTCCATACACCCCCATACCCAGCCATCACACATACCCACGCCCAGTCTTCTCCCATACCCAGCCATCACACATACCCACGCCCAGTCTTCTCCCATACCCAGCCATCACACATACCCACGCCCAGTCTTCTCCCATACCCAGCCCCCACTAATATCCTAACCCAGCCTTAACCCATACCCCCCACATACCCATATCCCAGTTCTCGCCAGTACCCACTCCCGGCTTTCACCACATCTAGTAGATGTAATAGATGTACTCACAGCTAGATGTGTACATCTGTTACAGCCCGTTTAGCATAAGGGTGGTTGTACAAGCTCTGGTGGGCCTTCTTTTGAACTTATTATATAACACTATGACTCTTATATGTTCTGAGAGTAAGGCCATAAGTTTAGGGTAAGTGTGCACTGATTAGTGTTCGGAGTCATTCTGCTGGTGGCTGACAGATGTTGAAGAGTTTGTTAATTAGGATGGATATCTATTCACTCGTGCTTGATTAGCATTCTAACGTTAAACATGCTAATGCAGCAATATGATGCATATGTGGCCCTCATGCAGAGGCGCTCACCACAATTCGGCAAGCTACCATTGGCGTCCTCGACGATCCTCGAGTAGATATTCATAGTTCTCCATATTAGCAAGCTAATTTTCTTTAAAACAGGCCTTAAAATAGAGCATGTGAGATGCCAAAACACAGCATTCATCAACACCAACCTATCAGCGTTTCCCACACCCCACTCATTACCCATTCCCACACTCCGCGTACACTCACATCCTCACACAGATTACACTAGCACCCACGCTCTGTTTTCAACCATACTCTCACAACCTCTAGACTGAAGCCACACCCAAACCCTCCTAAAACTCATAGTAAACATGTTCCTATACCCACACCTTGAATTCACCAAGAATCACACAGCCAGTTTAGACCTTCCTAGACTAAATTTACACTAATACTCAAATCTAGCTAACACCATTACCTATTCAATACCCCCCCCCCCCCCCCCCCCCAAGCTCACTCCCAAAATTCACCCATACCAACTTCCAGCCTACGTCTACACCCACACTCAGCGTTGTGGGTGTAGACTGCGTTGAAACCCAGCCTACGTCTACACCCACACTCAGCGTTGTGGGTGTAGACTGCGTTGAAACCCAGCCTACGTCTACACCCACACTCAGCGTTGTGGGTGTAGACTGCGTTGAAACCCAGCCTACGTCTACACCCACACTCAGCCATCACCTGCGTTGAAACCCAGCCTTCGTGCACACTCATCCTATATGACCCATGCGCAGCATTCACCCAAGCCCCCTACCGTCACTTGTAGACACACACTCAGCATTCATCCATGCCCACACCCAGATTACACCCCATACCCATCTCCAGCTGACAAACATATCCACATCACTAACTCCCGTAACATACAGAAAATATTCTCCTTCTCCTCGAAAGTGGGACGATGCTCAAGATGTAGCGAACATTTCCTTGCCGAATCGCAATGCTGAGGCGCTTATATGGAAAATGAGGGCGAGGGCTAGGCTCCTGTTGATGAGGGCGAGGCTCTTGTTGATGAGGGCGAGGCTCCTGTTGATGAGGGCGAGGCTCCTGTTGATGAGGGCGAGGCTCCTCGTGCTAGTTACCCATGCCTGGGATACCACATACAAGTAATCCATGTCTGGGATAATCCATAATAGGAGCACCTGTTCTAGTGTTAACTAGAAGTACCAGCTAATCCTCCTAGAATAAGAGTACTTACAGTACTCTTTGGTCAAAAGTACCACCAATATGTTTTTGGTGATGAAAAAGTTGACTTTTTTATATTTTAAATGGTCCAAATGGGAATTTTTTTTAACATAAAGGATCTAATCTAAACTAACCTAACCTCTTTCTACTAATCCTAGGACTAATATACGATATTTTAGGGTTAATGGAGTACGTATATGTACTTTAGTTGAGTAATTAAGTTTTGATTTTAGCTGTAATTTTTTCCAAATTCAGTAAAATTAAAAATGTGAAAATTGGACTTATTGGTATGTTTAACGCATGCTAACCCATGCTACTATTATAGGTCTAACCCATACTAGAAGCAGTGTTAGAATCAACCCATGATATGGTCAACCAATTGAAGGAGTCATTAATCCTATATGACCATCTCTTCTTAATAGGTCCAACCCATATCAGGGGGCAACCCATATTAGGGGTTAGCTCATACTGGTGACAACTTATGTTGTATAGGCACTCAAACTATGGGTTAACTGAGGCTTTGCAACATGCACGATCGTTAAATTAGACTCGTATCAGTGCTCAAGTTGAATCTTAATAATGCTTTCAGTTTAGAGCTCTGGTGAGGCTTTCTATGCTGAAGGAATTCTTACTCATGATATGAACGACGCTAATCGGTTCAGCTGTCTCATATGAGTATTGATCGAGACTGTTAACTGTGCATATGTTAGCTACAAACAAACACACACACACAAAAACAGCATTAGAACGATATTATTAGGTAATATGTGTGGTTTAATGATCCCACGAGATCCTAAATCTAAACCTAGCAAATTCGTCAGTTGCTGAAATGCAAGAATATCATTTTGTTTTTCATTTGACTGTGGATGATAGTGTGTGACTGCAGGCTTCCATCCCTTCCCCCCTTACCCACACATCCCCCTTCCTACCCTGCAAGACTTCAGCAAATATCGATATAACAATGATGCCGTGGAAACATGCAGGCGGGGGAATAATTTGAACCAGTTACTTCAGGGACTGACTGGTGGAAAACGCATGCCACATGCATCCCCCAGGGGCTGGTAGTCGTCGTACCTCAGCCAACCTGTCGGGAAGACGTAGCGCCTTACGAAATTATCTACCGGGCAATTTTTATTATTTTTTTTTATTAATATTATTCGTATTGTGAGGTATGGGGGTGACTCTTTTGCCAGCTTTATTTTCTAATTGGTAAATTCAAAGTTAGAAATTTAACTGAATGCTCTATTTCTAGCACAGTTTAAAGCTAGGTATTGAAAATAAACAAGTTGAATATTACTATCTGGCAACAAGTAATGCACAAGCATAATAAGCCTCTGAATTGCTAAACGTCGCAACAAAAATTATTACCCCTATATTTTGTTATTATACCATTAATGCTATCAAATAACTATAAATATTTTAATAATGTAAAATGTTTATAAAATAGTAGAGGGACAGAGATAATAAGGCTCAATTAAGCACAATATGATGAATAGCGACATGAGAGTTGGAAGGATAAGAGTGGCAACATAAAAATGGCCGGAGGCGCCTGCTACACGATGACTCTTCAAAGATGCCCATCACCGGGCAACCTGCAGGTGTGTTGCAGCCCTCGTGAGGAGCAAGAAAGCAACGTGTGTTTTAGCTGAGTGTAGCGGACCGGCCACCGGAAGTGAAGTGCGGGTGAGAGCAAGAGCGTAATTTGAAGAAGTGGGAGGAGCGAGGGGCGGAGTCAAGGGGGGTTCCAGGCCACGCCCACACCCTCGACCACACATGGCGCCCACCTCTCTTTCCTTATAAAATGAAATGACGTATGGGAACAACATAGGCCTAAAGCTCAAAGTTTTAGGCTGTAGGGTCAACTCCCCACCATAGAAAATGGTAAAAATCCACATATACACACACACACACATATGTATATCTCATATAATCAAAGCAACGAACTGAATATGCTACGAACACGCATATAAAAATGAACACTTTAAATCATTAACTTCCTGTGCGTAGCTGAGTATCTTAGCAACAATACAGCATAGG